CATTTACGCCTCCCAAAGCCCCTATATGCCCAAACAATGTAACTTACATTATTTCTTATGCCCAACACTCCCGTAAAATCGGATTTTGGTTAGAAAAGGAGGTTGGCACTAACTGCTATTCCATCGTGAGAGTAAAAACTTTGATTATGAGGACAATCAGCCGTTTGAGACACTGAAGGATGTTTTGGAGAGAATGGATGCAAACTGTGGTATCAATTTTGAGATCAAATATCCGCAGACATATAGCGTATGAATATTTACTTTATTATTATATTTAATTTAATAACTGTTTGCTTTAAAATTAGTCAAATGTGTAAATTGTATGAATTCTATAAACGGTGACATTAAACTCGTGTTATGATAAATAATATATTATATAATAATTTTGATAAATATTTAAATTCAATTCAAATGAAATTCAAATTAATATTCAAATTTATTTTAAGCAAAAAATAATTTTAAAAAGATTTTTATTTTTGTTAATTTTTTTACGCAAACCTCAAAGCAATGCAACATTAAAAGTATACAAATATTATTAGCAAAACATATTTAGTTTCTGTTATTGAATGCAATGCAACAGAATATTCTGTATTTTATACCAAACATTCTTTTACTTATTTGATAATTTTCTAGTTTTAAAACTCAATCATATATTTATATTTATTTATGATTTTTATTTTTATTTCACTTTCGGATCCTTTGATTGAAACTACATTTGCGATCCAATGAAAGGACGGTCACTGGGAGGCAGAGAAGCCGTTGGAATTGAATGAATACATAGACATCATTGTGAAGGCATTGTATGATAACATCGGCAACAGATCCGGAATCATAACATCATTTCACGTCGACTTGTGCTCAATGTATGCATAATCTGTTCAACAATACTAATGAATAGATATTTTGTTTTGTTTTATTTTAAGCAATTCATTGAATTCGATTTAATTATAAAAGTAAATATTAGTCACATTTTATTTTTAGGATACACTTAAAACAAAACAAACTAAGAGTAGCGCTCCTGACTTCAGGCGATGAGCAGCACTGGGACCCGAAAGCTTAACCTCCATACGACCCGCGCGGCACTACTGTTCTGTTGGGCGCATACTTTGCTCAGGGCATGGGTTTGGATGGTATGTCCATTCAGGACAAGGATCTGTTGGCCGACAATACACTCATACCGTTTGTTAAGTCACGTGATCTATACGTGTACGTATGGGGCACACAAATCAATAGCCAACAGGTCATCGACCAGTTGGTCAATAACGGCGCCGACGGACTCATATTTGACAAGTAATTAAATGTTTGATTTATTGTTAAGATTGAAAAATTGTTATTTATTTGCAGAATCGACAAACTATTATCACAAAGCACTCAAGTATGTGATGGATATAAGTATAAAATTAATTGTTTTAATTTAAATTAACATAAATAATATATAATTAATATAATCGTGAGTACAATTCCGTTGCAAGGAGTTTATGCTCCCATTTTTTAACTAGGGTGCTTTTTATAAATTTTTATACTGGAAAATGTTGTATCCATGGGACGGATATTTTGGCTATTTTATATTTTTGTTAACTGTTTTGCACCGGGAGGTTTTTTATAACGCAAAATTCTATACCATTATATTATTTCCATAGAGAATTTTATAAAATTTTAAAATTTACAAATTCATCTAATTTGAAAATTTACTTTTTCCCTCTAGTTCAGATCGTATAAGTGAGCACAAAAAGAGCAAACCATTTATTCCCGTATAACCGGATAATAATGAATAGTCAAATATAACGTTACGCTATATATAGGATGTGGAGTGACACATCTTTTAATGTCAAACTTTTAGTAAAGTTTTAACTCATTTTCAAACAAAAACTCAAAACAAAATTATTTACAAAAAAGGCATTTATGTTGTAAATAAAGTAACTATATATAGTGATGACTGTTTATAGATAAGGAGGGTACAACATATATTATGTCTAGGTAAAACAGTAAAATCAGACATCCTGCTCTAGTTACCATAAGCATTATGACTGTGTAAATTTTATTTGAGAGGTCGTTTATTCCCTAAAACTTTACTCCTGGTACAAAACGGCTAGAGGGTTTAGCAAAAATCCGAATATCCATCCTATTGATACAACATAATTTTATTTTAAAAAGTTTAAAAAGCAGCCAGGTTAATAATGAAAGCAAAAAAAAACCCTTGGAACGAATTTTGCTCAATACTGTATAATTATTTAAATTAATATATATTTATTACACACATTTAGAGTGTGGCAAACATCGATGTCTGGTCAGACAATTTGCACCACAACAATGCCAACAAATCATCCAGATATAGCATCATTGTACATTTATTATTAATTTATGTTATTTACTTTTGTTTCGTGGGTTATTAAGAAATTATATAAACATGTTTAATGTTTGCCAATAAAATATGTACTTTTTAAAGCAGTGTTTAATTTGACTCATGCTAATTGTTTGTTATTGTATTTATGATAATTACTACCATATACTATATTTTTATCAAGATTACATACAAAATAATTGTTAATTATTGTTTTTATATTGTTTAGGTTATTATTATAATAAAATACTGTATTTTATCAATTTACATTATTGCGATCATTACAATAAATTTGTTCCTGACTGATTTGTACCATATTGTATTAAAAAGTTTTTAATTGTAGGAAATAGATATTAAAACAGCTTAATAATAAACTAACTAGATTGTAAATGTAATCCTTATAGCAATATCTATACTGAAAAAATGACCCGGATAAAATTTCATCGTTTTTAATAATTTGTTAACTTTTAAAACTTTTACTTTCACAATATACTTTTAATTCATGTAACTTATTGTATAAATTATACTTTATAATCTTATCTGTAATACATGGATTACAATACCACTAAGCCTGGTGTACTAATAAACAATGGATTATAAGCATGTGGCAAAAATTCTCAGAAATATATTTCATAAATTGATTGTAATTTATTTTAAAAACACACAAAATAATCAATTTTGAGATAAAACAGTGGTATATAAAGGGCTAACATTGCAAACAATAGATGTACAAAATCACTATAAAGTTGTTAATAAAAATTTTATTAAACCCCATCGCCAAATAAACTAACCATGGCCAAAAACTCGACCAAAATTCTATGCATGGCTGCTATTATAATAGCCATAGTATTCATTAGTACCGGTAATTAATTAATTATTGAATTTAATTAAATGCATTAAAATTAACAATTTTTTTAATAACTAGAAACTTGCGATGCGATGCCGGCACCGGAGGGAGACGTGACGGCACAGGACACCTACGGCTGCCCTCTCGATAGTAAGTGCAAAAAGCACTGCCAGGGCCTCGGCTTTAAGGATGGCAAGTGTGAGGGCGCCACACATTTGACCTGTCATTGTATCGGTTAATCTGGTTTTAAATATGGTTGAAACTAATTGATTACTCGTTTCAATCGCTATAACTTTTAAATATTTTAATATTTTTGTTTTGTTGTAATTTTAAATTATCATGTAAAAATAAAAAGCAATAAAAGAGTAATTTGTATATTAGCACATATATTCACATTTATTTAATTTTGCTAATTTTTGTGCGCTTCCTGAATATTATAATTTGCTTGGTATAAATAAAGCAGCTAATTATAATAATTAATTCTGTACATCACATTAAAATAATTAATTTGTTGTGAAATAGCATTACGAAATTGTGTTAATACAACGCAATGTTAATGAATAATTAATAATAATTGTGCAAGATTAACAAAAATACTTTATGTAAATGCACAAGCTGTTTTATAATGTTCCGGGAATCTGGGAATTAAATGTTGATCTTATAATGAAAATTTGTCTCAAGGTTACCATGCTTATAATGAAGATTATATTTTTAAGTAGACATTTATTAAAGTATTAATCTGATTTTTCCGAGAAAAATATATTGCCCAATGTTGTACTCAAGTACAATATTATAATAAAATCTTTGTTATTGTAAATTAATATAATAACAATTACAATGCTATTTTATTTAGTTATAATTTTAAATTTAAAATACTTTCAATTTATATTCATTAATTTGTTTGTTTATAATGGTGCTGTCCAAATTGTATCCCAGGATATTAGAGTGCAACTGTTAGGGTGGCATTACAAACATTTCAACTAAGTCTCATCTCTTATCATAAAACTTTAAACATACATAGATTTCATTACAAGTAATATTTGATTCAATATTTTAATAAAGTTTGTATAAATTATTTTTGTCTCCATTTTTATGTTAAGTGTTTTAATGAAAGACAAACACGTTTTGATTGAATATTGATTTAATTGTTATATTAATTGTTTGTTTCAGAGTTTTTGTGTGGAAAATGTCCTAAATTTATAGTAAAGACTCTTTTGATAAATTATCTCATTATTTAATAATTGTTTAATAACAAATATATGTTGTAACATACATAGATTTCATTACAAGTAATATTTGATTCAATATTTTAATAAAGTTTGTATAAATGATTTTTGTCTCCATTTTTATGTTAAGTGTTTTAATGAAAGACAAACACGTTTTGATTGAATATTAATTTAATTGTTATATTAATTGTTTGTTTCAGAGTTTTTGTGTGGAAAATGTCCTAAATTTATAGTAAAGACTCTTTTGATAAATTATCTCATTATTTAATAATTGTTTAATAACAAATATATGTTGT